CTTGACTCGGAGTAATCGTTCATTTCAAAGTTTTTAAAATTAAAATTATTGAATTTTTAACAATTTTTCTCATATTAATTTAATTTCTTTAATTTCTTTAAGGTCTACAAATTCATAATTACATTAATAGAAAATTTTAATTCCAATAAATAAGGGTAAAAAGAGTTTTAGTTTTGTTTATTTATAAATTTAATTACTTTTTATAAATTATTAATTTATTTTTATTTATTTAATTAATTTATTAATTATTTATAAATTTAATAATAATAAGGGAATAATAATAATATTAATAATAATAATAATTATAATAATAATAATAATAATAATAATTATAATAATAATAATAATAATAATAATAATAATAATAATAATAATAATAATAATAATAATAATAATAATAATAATAATAATAATAAATAAAGTCTACTAACAAATTAATAATTAAATTAATATTAAATTTTAATTCAAACAAATAAGGGTAAAAAGAGTTCAAATTTTGTTCATTAATAAATTTTTAATAATATTAATAATAAGAAATACATACATGAATTAGATCCGGTTCATTCAACTTTTTTTCATTCCTGATAATAAACGAAAAAATCGACAATAAATTTTAGATAAGTCTTGTCAGCACTTTTCAATTGTGAATCACTTTTCTGACTGTTTTGTCGAATCTGAAAAGCTTATTTCCACACGTGAATATACAATTATATATAAAATTCGGTTGCTACTATATAAATAGTTCAAATACGAAATTTACATTTTAATCTTAGAAGAATAAGAAAATTTTAATATCAGACATTGACTGTCATTCAAAAATTAAAATATGATTATTTACAAATTAATCTATAAATCAGAGAAATGGTAAAATGTACAGATTTTTATTTTGTTTATTTTCTATATATATATTTTTGTATTTTTTCTTTTATTAATATTATTTTACATTTTATATTTAAATATATAGGTATTTAAATACAAAAAGTTCATAAATTGATAAAAAAGTAGAAAAAATTAGAAAAAAATTTGAAAATGTTTTTTTTTAAAGAATTAAAATGTATTGAATTGAAATGAAAATTGAAATTCGAATATAAATTTGAAAATGTTTAAAAAAAAGAATTAATTAAAATATATTAAATATTGAAGGAAAAATTGAAATTCGGAAAAAATTTGAAAATGTTTTTTTTTTAAGAATTTAAATTCTTATCTATTTTTCTAAAATTCAAGTGCAGGAGAAAATAAATGTAATTTCTTTTTTTACTTTACATATGTAGTTTTCGACATTTTCAACAGGCGAGTTCTTTTATAGAATCCAATTAATGGCTAACAATCGTAAAGTTAAGAATGTGGTGAATTCTAGCACGTAAAAGCGAAACGCGAAATGAAAAAGAAAAGAATTCCATAGCAAAAGTTTTGTTTTGCATCAGGCGCAATTAATATCAAATCAGCTTCTTGTGCGGTTATTGTATACCTGCGCGCGTGCGAGAGAGAAAGAAAAGAGCGCAAACACCAAACATTTTATGTATAAAATACACACGCGTATTTCTCTCTTCCTTGTCCCGAATAATTTATATCCTAACAAAAACTTTTTTTGCGCAACAAACAATGAGTTTTTAAAAGTGAGTTTACCTCAATGAATTCATCGGATTTTGACAAAAAAAAAACAAACAAAAAGGAATAAAAAAAGAATGAAAGAAAATAGAATAAGAAAAAGAAGAATTTTTAAAGATATATCGAAGAAGAAATATCGAAGAAATTTGTTATAAAATAAATACACAGAAGTTTTTTTTTAATGGCATTAAAATTATTTATTTGAATTTGAAGTGCAAAAGTCTTTATAGGGAATATATATATAAAAGCTTTATTGAAAAAGTAAAGAGAGCTTACTTCGTAAATCGGAAAACTTTGGAAAATTATAAGAAGCTTAATTTGGAAATAGAGGAAAAGCATCTTTGGTATAAGTTAGAAAAAGCTTCACTTAAAAATTTCCCATTAAGAATACTTTGAGCTTGCAATGGAATATTTTTAAGCTTCTATTCGAAAGTTCGAGAAAGCTATTGGTACGAAATTAAGCACTATTTACTTTGCAATACTCAGGGAAGTTTTTTTGACAACACACAACAAGCTCACTTAAAAATTTTCCACCAAGACTATACTTTTAAGCTTTCTAAGTTGCTTTTTCTAATTTTCAAATAAGCTTAGGAATATATTTCATTGAAAGCTTAAAGTACTCTTCATGGGAAATTTTTAAGTCATAATTTACCTGTAATAAAATAACTAGAGCTTTATTTGGAATACTAAAAAAAGCTTTCTTTCACAACTAGTTTATCTTAAGAAATTCAAAAACAGCTTCATTTAAAAATTTCCAGCTAAGAAAATTTTTTAGGATTGGAAAAAGCATTGGAAAAATATTCCTTGCTTGAAATTACTTCCAAGCTTCTATAAGAAATTTAAAGAATCTCCTTGTAAGGAATTAAGTAGAGCTTACTTTGGAATACTAGGAGAATCTTTGAAAACTCAGAAAAAGCTTCACTTAAAAATTTCCTATCATAAATATTTTAAGCTTCCAATAGAATTTTTTCGAAGCTTCTAAAGAAAAGTATAGAAAAAGCTGCCTGTAAAAACTTACCTAGAGCTTACTTTGGAATACTAGAAGAAGCTTCTTTTTAACTTCGAAGAAGCTTAACTTAAAAATTTTCAAAAACACTTTAACTTTTGATTGGAATATTTTTTAGCTTCCATTAGAAAGTTAGAAAAGCTTTTTTTATGGAAAATTGGAATCTCACCTGTAAGAAATTAAGCTCTGCTTTCTTTGGAACACTAGGAAAAGCTTCTTCAAAACTCAGAAAAAGGTTCACTTAAAAATGTCCAACTAATAGTGTATACTTTATGCTTTCAATGAAATATTCCCATAAGCTTTTATAGGAATGTTTAAAAAAAATCTACCTGTCAGGAATTAAGTAGAGCTTACTATGGATTACTAGGAAAAGCTTCCTGTGATAACTTAAAAAAAGTTCTGCTCAAGATCATTTTACTAACTTTTTATTGCAAGCTTTTTATTGGAGAGGTAAGAAAAAGCTTACTTGAAGTCTAATGAAATTTTTTTTTCGGAGTTTAGAAAACACTTATTTTAGAAATGCAGAAAAAGCTCACATTACAAGTTTAGAAAAATCTTACTATAAAATTTTACTTGGTAGAGCTTCCTGTGTCAGTATTTCGATTTTAGTTTATGTATACCTTGACCTTCTTATGGAAATATTTCTTATAGCTTATATTGTGGCTTATTATTATTATTATTATTATTATTATTATTATTATTATTTAGAGACTGAAAAAATTTTCTTTTGGAAATTATCAAGAAGCTTTTTTCGGAATTTTACAAAAAGCTCCCTTTGAAAATTAACGAATAGCTTCCTTTTAAAACTAATGAATAGATTCCTTTGAAAACTAACAAGAAGGTTTCTTTGGAAATTTCCAAAGAAATTTTGGAAATTTCTTTCTTTCTTTGGAAATTAACAAAAAGCTCTTTTTGTAAACAAATGAAAAGCTTCTTTTTGAAATTTATAAGAAGCTATTTCTTTAAAAAATAAGAAAAAGACTCTTTTTGAAAAGTGGAGAATATTTTTTTTGGAAAACTACCAAAAAAGCTCCGATCAGAAAAATAACACGCAACTGTTTTTGAAAACTATACCAAAAAGCTTCCTTAAAAACTTAGAAAAAACTTGTATTGAACAAAAAGGCAGAATTCACATTAGACTTTTAGGAAGAGCTCTTTAAAACTATCGAGAAAGTTGTTTTGTAAATTTAGATAAAGCTTCAATTAATATTCTTAGATTAATCTTCTAGTGGAATATTTATCAATTTTATTTGGAATTTTAGGCTTTTCTTTTTTGGGAAAAAAGCTCTAATTGGGAGCTTATCTGAAGATCCTAAAGCTTTTCCATTAGGGAATTTCTATGCTGTTTTTAAAAATTTTAAGTAAGTTTATTTTGATAACTTGTATTGTTTAATATTTTGATAACAGTTTTTCCTAATATTTCAAAGCTTTTCCTATCGAAAATCCTGATGCAGTTTTTGGAAACTTAAAAAAACCTTCTTTAGAAATCTTTTCCTAAAGCTTCTCGTGAGCTTCTTTTGGAAATTAAGAAAAAGCTCTTTTGAAAGTGGAATAAATAATTATTTGGATATTTCGGTAAAAGCTCTCGCTAAGCTTTTAAAACTTGTTCTAAGGATATTTCTTTGATTCTTTTTAGAAATTTTGAAAAAGCTCCTGTTGAAGCAGAATGAAATTTTTTTTGGACATTTCGATAAAAGCTCTCTCCGAGCTACCACAGCTTTTTCTAAGGATATTCCTTTGCTTCTTTTTAGAAATTTAGAAAAAGTTCCTTTTGAAGCTTAATGAAAAATTCTTTGGACATTTCGGTAAAAGCTCTCGCTAAGCTTCCAAAGCTTTTTCTAAGGATATGCATTTGCTTCTTTTTAGAAATTTAGAAAAATCTCCTTTTGAGGCGGAATGAATTTTTTTTTGACATTTCGGTAAAAGCTCTCTCTAAGCTTCCAAAGCTTTTTCTACGATTCTTTTTGGAAATGTAGAAAAAGCTCTTTTGGAAGAGAACATTTTTTTTCAAATTTTGAAATAATTCTTTGGATAGTAGGATAAAAGCTCTCCCTAAGTTTGGAGAGCTTCTTTTGAAAATTTAAAGAAGATTATTTGGAAACTTAATGTTTCTTCATATTTTGGTAAAAGCTTTCCTGAAGATTTTAAAGCTTTTCCAGAAAAATTCCCCTATTCTTCTATTGGAATTTTAAAAAAAGCTTCTTTAGAAACAGTGCTTTTTGTTATTTCGTTAAAAGCTTAGCCTTAAGAGCTTTCTTAAAAAATAGAACCGTATACAAAAAGTATACCGTTTCCATAGAGAAAAATAAATAAAATCGAAAAATAAATAAAATCCCTGACACTGAGAGTATATATATCTAAAAATTGGAGAATTTCAAAAGCTCACCTCCGTCGCTTCTTTTTCCGTCGCCTCCGTCGGCGAGGTCGACTCCTGGTTCTCCCCCAGGATAAAGGGGAGGCGGTGGGTCTCGTCTTCGATTTCAGGGCCGTTGCTACGCCGTTCTCGATTTTCTGAGCCTCGTATCCCTGCACCGGGGGCCTTGTCGCCGCCCCGGCGCTGGGCCCCGTCGTGGCTGAAACCTCCAACCACCCACAATATCCTCTTCCTCTGTCTCTTTACCTTCTCTCTGACCCCTAGTCACCGCACAAATTTCTCCTCTACTTCCCCTCTCAAGGTCACCACCACATAAAACTCCAATCGACCAATCATTTGTCCCCACCAACTCAATATCAATCCTGCAACATTCGGGCCCATTCACCATCACCACTTTTCCTCTCTCTCACTTCTGTTTTTTTTTTTTTTTTTTTTTTTTTTTATTTTCCCCAGAAGCTGTTTCTTTTTTCACACTTCAATCCTCTCTATCTCTCGACAAAATCACCTTCTATTTCTTATCATCTTTAATATCACTTAAAATCAATTTTGTTATTTCTTTTTTCAAATTTAAAAATCGTCAATAACCGATCGGGTAAATGTGACCATTTCTGACAATTACGATTTAATTTCTCTTTACCCGAAGAAATGATTGTCACGTGTTTTTTTTTTACTTGAAGAAAATATACTTTTCGATTCACGGGGTTTCAATTAAGAAGGAGAAAAGAAAAACTATAATGTAAATGATAATTTTCAGGTTATTTTCTCGAGGTGCGGGGGCGGGAGATGAGATATGGGGTAAAAATATAAATTCGACGAATATTATATAAACTCGACCGCGATCACACGTAAACTTTCCACAAGAGATACTCGACGACTCTGATCCGCGAATTTTGTCCGCCGGTTAACACAGCCTCCAACATAACGGGAGCGGAGCGCCGCGACGCGAAGCGCCTGCACATGCGTTAGAGAGCTTTAACCGCCCCCGCCACCCCGTGTGCCACTTCCGACTCCATGAAGCGTAACTCTCTCTCTCTCTCTCTCTCTATGTACGCCACCCTCGTCATCTTCTCTTCCCTCCTCCGGGCGTTTTCAACCCCCCTTCATCTTTCACGGTGGTGGTTGTAGTACCCTATGAAAGCAGGGGACTATCGCGCTCCGTCACGCCGTTCCTTTGTGCGTCAACAAAAGCCCGATGCGAAATGTATGGCCGATTTCGGAACATTGATTCGTAGTGTAAAATAATTGAAGCACCCAGCAGGGCGAGAGAGAGAGAGAGAGAGGGGGGGATTTTCACTCGCTTACTTTTTGATCTTCTATGTTTCTTCAGCGGGGTGTTTAGTGTCGTTCTAGTGGAAAACGAGATTAGATATAGAAGATGAAATTTCCAACCAAGAGGGGGGTGGGAATTAATAAAATAAAGATTGATGAGAATCTGGGAATTTGGTTTTTTTTTGCAAGCTCTTGCCATAGTGAGATTTTTTTATTCACTCAGTCTTGTGTTGTTTCTCAAAATTCTTTAGTTTGTATTTTCTGTATAACTTCGCAAAACTGATGATCGACTTTTTGATTTCATTTCCGCTTTCATTTTTTACTTCCACTTTCATTTCCATTTTCGTTCTAATTTTCGTTTCTATTTTCATTTCCATTTTCAGTTTCCATTTTCGTTTCTATTTTCATTTCCTTTTTCTTTTCCATTTTCGTTTCCATTATCATTCCATTATCGAAAGTAAGGTATAACTTAACATTTTAAATTTATGAAAATTAACTATATTAATTTGAATGTTCTTTCATTATTTCATTCACTTTTTCTGTCCCTCGCACACTCTGAAGTTGTCTTTTATTTATATTTTTGTTTTTGTTATCTTTAGATAGATTGTATATTATATTATTACTAGAAAATTTTACGCGCTGAACGTGATATTCAATTTATTATTCTTATGCAAATTACAAATATTTTTAGTTTTCAAATATAAATTTTTAAAATAATTTCATAATAATCAAAATTACAAAAATTCACTTATCAAGTACAAAATTAATAATTACTGCGTTCATATTTTCTAAAATTTTAATAAATCCTTCGAAAAAATTCAATTATTTTTATAAACAGTAAAATTCTTCACACAAGAATAAATTATTTTTAATCAAATTTCAATAAAATTACATGAAGGAATTTAATTATTTTCGAAAATTTCCATAAAATGCAATTTCAACAAGAATTTTAAATTCTCAAAAAATAATTCAATTATTCTCAAAATATTTTCAACAAATTCTTACCTATATAAAAATTAAATTACTTTCAATTCAATTTTTAAATATATTGTATTCGTCAAAAAAAAATTGAAAGAATTCAATTATTTTCAAAAAATAATAAAATTCTTGTGATGAATTCAATTATTTTAAATATACATATAATTTTAATAAAATTCTTTAAAGAAATTCCATTATTTTCGAAACAACTTTAATTGAATTTCTCGAAAAAATTTCATTATTTTAAAATATTTCTATAAAATTCTTCATAACAATTTAATTATTTCTTAAAATTTTTAAAAATTCTCGCAAAACATTTTAATTATTTTTACAAATAGTAAAATCATTCTAAACAATATTGAATTATTTTTTTCAATAGTAAAATCTTTACAAAAATCCAAAAATTTTCAAAACAATTTTAATTGAATTCCTCGGTTGAATTCAAATATTTTTAAATATTTCCATAAATTTCAATTATATATGTCCAAACATTTTAATAAATTCTTCGAAACAATTTTTATAAATAATAAAATTCTCCACAAGAATTCAATTATTTTCAATTCACTTTTAATAAAATTCTTCTTCATAAAATTTAAATGCTTTCAAAATTTTCAATTAAAATTATTAAAGAAACTCTATTAGTTTAAAAAAAAATTCAAAGAAATTCTTCAAAAGAATTTAATTAGAATTTTTTAAAATTTTAATAAAATTCTTCCCAAGAATTGAATTATTTTTATAAATAATTCTTCGAATGAATTCAATTATTAAAGATAAATAACAAAATTATTCACGAAAATTCAATTATTTTGAGGCATTCTAATATAATTCTTTGCAAAATTCAATTATTTCCATAAATAACAATGTTCATCACAAGAATTCAATTATTTAAAAAAATTCTAATAAAAATCGTTGTCAAGAATTCAATTATTTTATATGTAAATATTAAATTTTTTTAGGAATTCAATTATTTTTATAAATAATAAATATTTTTTAGGAATTCAATTATTTTCAAAAAAATTTAATAAAATACCACACAAACATCCAATTATTGTCAAAGATTTTAATAGAATTCTTGGTAAAATTTAATTATTTTTAAAAACTTTTCTCAATTCAATGATTTTCAAAATCTATTATTTTCCTAAAATTTCCAAACAAAATTCAATTATGTATTTTTAAAAAAATAAAATTAATTATTAATTTAAAAAATTTTTTTAAAAATCTTCGTAAAAATTCAATTTTTTTCATGAATAATTAAAAATTTATTTGGAATTCAATTATATAAATTAAAATTTTTATTTAAAAATCTGTCAGACTGCAACTCGATTTTTTAAAATTTTATTACAGTAAACAATCCTGAAAAAATTGTTTTATGTAGTTTAATTTTGTAGTCGTAATAATTTTATAATAGAATTGTAATAATTTTTATAATTTTCTGGAACCAAATGAAAACAAATATAAATAATTCTTGTTGGACATTTTTGAATGCAGAAAATTTTTTAAAATACTGTTGCATTAAGACGCAGGTTCGACTGTAGTGTAAATTTATAACAATAATATAAGAAGAACAGTTTAGATATAATAATATTAATCCTAATTATTATTTATCTTATAATAATGGGACAGTATAACAATAATAATACATGGAACGTGAGAAAAATATTTTGATCCGATATCCCGCATTTCTGATATTGATATATAGATGTACATATGTCTGAAAATAAAAGTTAAACCATCATCAGACGGATTAAACGTTAATTTTAGACAAAGCCTCGAACATAATTTTTGTTTTTTTGTTTTTAAACTCGCCGCGCGGGACGATAATTTAGAGGGCTAAGCGTGGCGCGCGTGTTTCTAGGTTAAACCGACAAGTATCATTGGAAATCGAAAAGAAACATATAAACATACAAACGAAATGCTTGTGATGCCGAAATGCCTAAAGTTCGACGACTCGTCATTTTTCAAAGTAGCTAAACAGTTGGTGTGGTAAAAGCGATAGCGAAGAACGAAGAAGCTTCAACGCAGGTGGAAGGAGGGTTTCGGATGTTCATCGACAAGCGTGTAGGGTTTATATATATGTGTGTGAGTGTGTGTGTGTGTGTGTGGGTGCTATTTATATCATTTCCTGCCTACTGGTACGTTAGAGATAGATATATCGAGCGCGCTCTATCCGCGCGTCGAGTGTAGCACCGTTGAGGTTCCTACTGACACTCTGACGCTCTCTCTCCCTTTTTTTCTCTCTCTGTCTCTTCCTCTTTTTCTCTCTATCTCTTTTACTTTCTCTCTCTCTCTTTCCCTATTTCTCTCTCTCCCTATTTATCTCTCTCTCTCCCTATTTCTCTCTCTCCCTATTTTACTCTCTCTCCCTATTTCTCTCTCTCTCCTTTTTTTCTCTCTTTTTCCTATTTCTCTCTCTCTCTCTCTCTCTCTCTCTCTCCCTTTTTTACTCACTCTTCCTTTTTTACTTTCTCTCTCTCTTTCTCTCTTTTTTACTCTTTTACATTTTTTACTTTTTAGTAGAAAATAAGGGAAAGAAGGATATTTCCATTTTTTCCCTCTTCTAGTCTCTATTTCCATTCGAGAATGAGAAAGACATAAAAATGTTTCTCTCTCTCTCTCTCTCTTTCTTGAATATAAGTCGAGTATATATCGCCATTCGAATTCGACTTGTGCGATGCTGGCAAACGGTTGATAGCTTTACGATGCAAGTTGAAAGATTGACGAGCGAATCCGTCAGCAGTTTTTGCCTCACCAAACGGACACGAGATTTTCTGCAAGGATTTTTTTCTCTCCATCTTCCCCAGAGGTTGTAGGTCGAATATCTTCGCTTGACTCTTGAATTGCTGGGGAAATTATTTTTTCCTCACTTTTCTTACGCAAAACAGAAACTTTGTTTAATAGATTTTACTATTAATTTTATTTATAATATACTATGTGGTATATATATTTAAATGCTGGTATTAATATAGTATTATTAATACTAATAGTAATTAATACTTAATATTAATACTAATAGACTAATAGTAATGAATACTAAATACTTTGGTGGAATTTTTTCATTTTGATAGACTTTTTTAATTTTATTTTTAAAATTGATTTTGACTTTTATTAATATTTTACTTTTAGTTGAATAGAATTTTTCCTTTTTTTACTTTGACAGAATAAAATTTTCAAAAATAATTCATTTCACTGTAATATTAGTTGCGCAATAAAGTTATGCGCATGCGTTGTAGGAAAAAAAATGTGCGCACAGCTGTAATTTTGCGAAAAAAGTTATGCGCACGCGTTATAGATCCCATAAAGGTCCGTCCACAATGTGAAATTAATATTAATCGTTATATAAAATCGCAAGCAGTTATTTTTGAATTTTGTTATTATTTTTGTTCTATTCTTAATAGATATAAAAATCCATCAAGCAGCAATTGTATTTTTAAAGCGCGTCGAAGAGGCTATAAATTTTCCTACTTTGAAAAAAGAAAAACAATAACCGCTAATTTATGTTCCCTGCGATTATTGATTTAGGGTTTATTCTAAAAACGTTTATTGACCTTCATAATATGTTTCCTCGGCATTGTTTTTTTTCTTTCTATTTTTTGCAATTTATATTCGGCTATTTTTGACTTCAATAAGTAGAAAAAATTTTTTTAAAAAAGTTAATTATAATTTGAAAACGTATTTAATTTTAAGGGAAAGAAATTTTTCAAAAAAATTTCGGAATGGCGCTAAAAGTATGGACATAAGCTTATATAGAAATAACAGTAAATTATTTTCAAATTCAGAAACTTTTAATTTGAATTAATTGCAGTCTAAATAAAAATTGAATTTAAATTAAAAATAGGAGAAAAATATATATTAATGGTTAATATTTATTAACGAAAATTAATTATTAAGTAATTATTAATATTTATTTATTATTTATTAATTTCTTACCAAAAGGGGAGAAATGTTTTAGACATATTGCTAGTGCACGCATCGGACGTAGTTATTAAATTAGTATATTTAATAATAAATCCATATCCGTGTATTCTTACCTGAAACAAAACAAAAATAACAATAACAATTAGTATTTATTTCTTGATCATAAACTAACATTAATTTACACACGAATTAAAGAAACAAAAGTTCACATGAAAGGCTCAAGCGTGACATAATTGGTACGTGCGATAAAGAGTGCGTTACGCTGCGCCATAAATATTAATCGTTTCTCCTGTGCGCTCGGTAGTGGCGCGTCCTGATTAGTATTACAATCATGTTCCACTTTTTTTCTACAATTAAATATCAACTTTGT